TGTGCAAACAGGTGGCCGCCAGATATATCCGCAACAAAACCAAATTCAAGACCTTTCCGATGACCTACGAGATGACAAACCCTCCCTATTATATCGCTGTCCGCAAGGGCTGGAACTCCTGGAACTGTTCGTCGCTGGTGGGCGTCGAGCGCACGCAGACGAGTCAGACCACCATCGAAGACGTGTTTATCCGGAAATTTATTTTCGGCACTTTTCATCGACTCTTCCTCTCGGAGCTCATCATCAAAAGGCGGGCCAACCTTATTGTGATCGCCGGTATCGTCCATCAGACCATCGCCCAGACGAAGATCTACTTTCTGGTGGGATATACCGAAGCCATCCTCTCCTATATCCTCAAGTGTCCCGTGAAGATGGATATACAGACCACTCACGACCCGAAGGCACTCATTGTTAAATACATCTGATTTGTCGCACATTTAGTCGCATATAATAGCATTAAAAACAATTAAACTATAATCTAATCACTCGTTAGAAGTTGTGTTTTGTTAATGAATAGAGTTATTGATTGCAATAATTATGATATAATTAGTATTTTTTTGTCAATAAATTGATTGAACGAAACGCGCTGTCAATGAATGGTTTGAATTATGAATTTAGTTATGATTTGATGAAATCGTTGGCTTAACATAAAAAGTGCACAAAGTTTTGGTTAAGAAATTGATTTGTTTTGAGCTCAAGAGTATGAATCCGAAAACGTTTGATAGGAGTGTCGGACGACTGGTCTATAAGCACTCGACGGCTATATTACTGGGCTTTACGTTGGGAGCACTGGTAGCCGTTTTTGTCGTCAAAACAGGGCCACTAAGACATCAAAACTATCTCATGTTCTGAGTGTCCGCTTAATATTCAGCACTTTATCTAAATTTATGTTTTTGTAATTCAATATACCTTTCAAATCTAATTTCATGTATTTTATATCGAAATATGATAAACTATTCAAATAAATACAGTTTTCTACAATTTAAATTCTAAATTATAATTTCTAAGAAAAATTGTGTCCAGGTAAATTTACTTTATAATATTCCAGACCTTAAACTTAAACTTTGACTAAACATTAAATCATTAGTGAATACAAAATTTCTATAATAAATGTAGAATTTCCAAACTATTGGCTGAGTTTTGCCAGTAATTCATAACCACTTCACGTGAAAATTAATACAAAAAGTTAAGTTATATTCAAAATTATAAGCAGTTATTTGAAACTATATAATCGTTTAGTTAAACTGACAAAAGACATACCAGTCCTACAATTACAGAAATGGCATCCAAATGCAAACAAATCATTGTTCATATTGTCTGTGAATACCCTCGAATGGTGAGCACCGGTATTGTCTTACTGATTGAGTTCTTGTGGATGTGTTGGTGCGTCTGGAGGGCAGCCGTTGTGAGTCGACCCTCACTCAGCCAACTGTTCCTCGAAGTACTGAAGATTGGGGTCGTCATGGAAGTGGTGCGTTGGGCCATAGGTTGGGCCATAGGGTATGTCACCCCAAGTTGCCGTCTCACCCAAAGTCCACAAAGTGGTGGCCAACGCAAGAAGTACTCGAAATCATGCGTTCGCTTCCACACCAGGAATGGGATGTCAGGCCGACGAGTCACTAGAAGCAGGTATAGCATTGAACAGGACTATAGGATGATCCCCGACCAGTGCCTGTCCACCAATCTGTTGCCCACACGAGTCCAATGAATCAATAAAAATATTTCTCATTTAAATTATGTCTTTTTATTTGATTTATTTTTTGTGTGATTTTTTTGGGAAAGATTTAGTGATATTTCACCGCAGAATCGAGAAATGAAATTCAGTACTGAATATAAGTTTGTAATAAGTTTGTCAGAGTATGTGTGTCAGCACAGGGATCACCTTTTCGTATGTATGTCTCTATTCATACCTATTATTACTTCCTCTCATTTCTGGGAAAGATTTGTAAAATTATTAGTCATTTCATATGAATTTGGTTGTAAAACATCGGCAAAACCCGACCCCACGCCCACACATACGCCCCCATCAAATCAATAGTTATTTTACCAATCGATTGAATGTATAATTATTTGTTTAAACTATGATAAAAATGTTAATTTGTTATAAGTTTTAGTGTTAAGATTTTATTTTTCACTTTTAATGTTTCAAAAGCAAAATAAGTTAATGAATCAAAAAGTCAATTGAATGCACTTTAATTACTTTTATAATATTAATAATCGATTAGAAATATTTTTCTTATCCCATAAAATAGTCGTTTACATTATTAATACAACATATTTTGTTTTTATTTGTAATATTATAATTTCAAACTTTTTTTTAAGTTTGAATGTAATTAGAATTTATGTCAGAATTATTTGATAAGAAAAATTTGTCTCGGTACTTATTTATACATAAAATTTGATTAACTGTATGTGCTTTAAATATAAATAAATAATTTTTCAATTATAAAATGATAATTATTTAGACATTTGACTTAAATTGAAAACTTTTTTATCACTCGCTTTGAGAGCTTTTAAGACAATGAACTCAATGTTAGCCCAAAAATCGTCGGAATTTGAATGAATAGGAAACCATTGAATCACTCGACTATTAAATAAATATTTAACGTTTATATTAATGTTTAGCTTATATTTTATGGTCACAAATATCTGCATNATCGATTGAATGTATAATTATTTGTTTAAACTATGATAAAAATGTTAATTTGTTATAAGTTTTAGTGTTAAGATTTTATTTTTCACTTTTAATGTTTCAAAAGCAAAATAAGTTAATGAATCAAAAAGTCAATTGAATGCACTTTAATTACTTTTATAATATTAATAATCGATTAGAAATATTTTTCTTATCCCATAAAATAGTCGTTTACATTATTAATACAACATATTTTGTTTTTATTTGTAATATTATAATTTCAAACTTTTTTTTAAGTTTGAATGTAATTAGAATTTATGTCAGAATTATTTGATAAGAAAAATTTGTCTCGGTACTTATTTATACATAAAATTTGATTAACTGTATGTGCTTTAAATATAAATAAATAATTTTTCAATTATAAAATGATAATTATTTAGACATTTGACTTAAATTGAAAACTTTTTTATCACTCGCTTTGAGAGCTTTTAAGACAATGAACTCAATGTTAGCCCAAAAATCGTCGGAATTTGAATGAATAGGAAACCATTGAATCACTCGACTATTAAATAAATATTTAACGTTTATATTAATGTTTAGCTTATATTTTATGGTCACAAATATCTGCATGTATTTCGTGTATATTTTTAACCAAAGAGCAATAATTTAGTTATTTATTCAAAAAATACATTTTATATAAATTTAGCCAAAATTTATGATGAATCCAATAATACATTTGAAAACTTGCAGACATACAATGTATGGACAAGTATTATAAATACATTGATTATGCTTATTATGAATTGGATGCACAAATGTATGGACACAATAAGCTGCCGATCCATCAAAGAATATAACATATGATTAAAACTAGAAATTTTCTTTTGTGTCCATAACTTGATGTCTATTTTTACGTTCAAATACATTCATTTCGATGTAATTTGTATTCAATTTATGTAATAATAATATACATTAAGGCAGACATATAATAGCCTTAATTTATAAATGCTATGCTTTCGATATAAAATACCGTAATTACAGTTATTGTATAAATTATATAATTTCAATAACACTGAAAAAGTATATATTTTTTGAATTCATTATACAATTCAATGGTAAATGTGTGCTGAGATTACTAACAATGCAGTAATATCTTTATAATACATAATTATATTAGTTGTAAAAGGCTTTAAGTAAAAAATATTT